ATGGAAATTGGCAAATGCTACAAATCAAGGTTGATTTTTTTCCTTCAGAGAGCCAGTTGTTAAGCATTTCCCAGGACACCACTGTCTAAGGCCCACAGGACATCTCAGTATCTATGACCTCAGACCTAGGGCCCCAGTTGGGCCATCCTTTGGCTGAAAGTCATTACTTCCTCAAGCAGGGTTTCTCACCTGTGGCCCTGCGGACATTTGGGGTGTCCTCTGCATCCCAGTTGCTGGCCCATTTTGCAGATATAGAAACGGAGTGTGGCCAGAAAGGCAGGTCACACAGGGCCGCATTGTCTAAAAAATTAACCAAGGACGGGCCATAAGCAGAATCCACATTCACTGGACAAAAACGACTGGAGGCCTCCATGGTTGCAGTGGTATACTGCAGGAGCCAGGACTTAGAGACGAGGCCGCCCAGGCTATGCGGGAAGATGGGAAATGGAGTCTTTATTTGGGGTGGCCTTATCCCGGCTAAAAGTCAGGAGTTCTGTTACTTTGAAAATAGAGACTGGAGCCAAGTGTGCGGTGGCTTATGCCTGTAAGCTCAGCACTTTGCGAAGCTGAGGCAAGCGGATCACTTGAGGTCAGGAGTTCGAGACCAGCCTGGCCAACATGGCAAAATCCCATCTCTACTTAAAAAAAAAAAAAAAAAAAAAAGTAGCCAGGTGAGCACCTATAATCCCAGCTAGTCAGGAGGCTGAGACGAGAGAATCGCCTGAACCTGGGAGGCGAAGGTTGCAGTGAGCCGAGATCGCACCACTGCACTCCAGTCTGGGTGACAAGAGTGAGACCCCATCTACAGAAAAGAAAAAGAAAATAGAGACTGGACAATGCAGAAGGAAGGAAAGCAACCACTAGTCTCCGGTGCTCACACCAGGCTAGAACAGACTACGCAGGCAAGGAACACGAGACCCCCCTGGTCAGCTGAATGTGACCCTGAAATCACAACCCCTGGCGAGACCATGGGCTTCAGCCTGGGAGGGTCCTAAGGGCAGGAACCACCTCTGACTCACGTCTTCTGTCTCCCTGTGTGCAGGGCCCACACCCGTACCCACTCATACTGGCGGTCCTTGACCAAGTCCTCATTTTGTGCCAGCCTCTGCCCTAAGAATTACCTGCAGGGCCAGGGTTTGTGGGAGGTGAGGGAGACACTCGCCTTAGGGGCAAAATGCAGGGGGATGCCCAAGAAACTCAACCACAAAGATAAATTTTATATATATGTGTGTGTATGTATATATACACATAATTTTTAAAACAATTCAGTGGTTTTCAGTATATTTGCAAGGTCATATGACTAAAACTACTCCAATTCCAAAACATTTTTATCACCCCAAAAAGAAACCCATTAAAAATCACTCCCTGTTCTCTTTTCTGCCCAACTCCAGGCAACCACTCATCTGCTTTCTGTCTCTGTGGATTTGCTTATTCTGGACGTTGCATACAGATGGAATCCTATCATACGTACAATATGCAGTCTTCCATGGCTGACTTCTTCCACTTAGCATAGTATCATCACGGTCTATCAGTATCACAGCGGCCAGGCACGGTGGCTCACGCCTTTAATCCGGCGCTTTGAGAGGACGAGGCCGGTGGATCATTGAGCCCAGGACTTCGAGACCAGCCTGGGCAACATGGCAAAACCCTGTCTCTAACAAAAATACAAAAAGAAAAAAAAAAAAAAATAGCCAGTCTCATAACCCGGTCTCAAAAAAATGAACAAATATCAGTATCACAGCATGTATGAGTAGCTTGTTCCTTTTCATTCCCAAAGACTTCCATGGTATGCATGCACATTTTGCCTGTGTATCCACAAGTGATGGACAAGTAGCCATCTCCACTTCTTGGCTATTATGGCCAATACTGCCATGAACATTTGTGTGCAGGTCTCTGTGTGGAAATATGTTTTCGTTTCTCTCAGGTGTATATATAACTAGGAGTGGAACTTTGGGCTCATGTGACAAGATAAGTACTATTTTAATGCAGTATTTTTTTAAAAAAAATAAAAATTAATGAAAAAGCCATGATAAACAAAATATCCACTTTTTTTTAGAGACAGAGTTTCACTTTGTTGCCCAGGCTGGAGTACAGTGGCACAATGTTGGCTCACTGCAACCTCCGCCTCCCAGGTTCAAGTGATTCTCGTGCCTCAGCCTCCGGAGTAGCTGGGATTACAGGCTTACGCTGCCATGCCTTGCTAATTTTTGTATTTTTAGTAGAGATGGCGTTTCCCCACATTGGCCAGGTTGGTCTCGAACTCCTGACCTCAGATGATCCGCCTGCCTGGGCCTCCCAGAGTCCTGGAATTAGAGACATGAGCTACCACGCCTGGCCGCCACATTTTCAATGAAGTCAGGCTGTTGTCTGTTTTATGATCCTGCGTTACTGTGCTATGGAACAGTCATTTCCAATCAGCCTGCGGTTTCCAGGCCCACATACTTTTGTGATGGCTGACAGTAGAAAGCGAACATATTGGCAACCAGATTTTAGATACAGTCGTTGTTTCTTGAGTGTAGCACGTTTGTTAACTTTTTCCACCTGGTTCAAACTATGAGAGGCTGTTTTGATAAACACATATGGGGCACACAGTTTTCTTTTTGCCTCGGGCTTTGCTACGGCTGTGACCACCTGCACCATTTCAATTAATCCTCAAACATCCTCGGGCACCTCGTTCTCCAACCTCCCCGCTGAGGTGAGAGGAAGGAAGGAGCTTGCTACAGTCCACAGCTGGTGAGTAGGAGAGCTGGGATTTGAACCCAGGTCTGGGCTTGGAGACTCGGCCTTCACACCGTGCCTCTCAGCAGTGTAGCCTGCAGTGGCCCAGGAGGGTCACTTTAGCTCTCTGAAGTATTTTATTCAGGCAGGGGGCAGCCTCATTGTTACGAGGACAGATGTGAATGTGCAGAATTCACTGTGAAATCTGACAACCTGGGCAACATGGCAAAACCCCATCTCTACAAAAAAATACATACATACAAAAATTAGCTGAGCATGGTGGTATGTGCCTGTAGTCCCAGCTACTCAGGAGGCTGAGGTGGGAAGATTGCGCGAGCTCAGGCAGTCGAGGTTGCAAGTGAACTGATATTAAGCCACCATACTCCAGCCTGGGCGACAGAGTGAAACCCTGTCTCAAAGGCCGGGCGCCGTGGCTCACACCTATAATCCCAGCACTTTAGGAGGCTTAGGCAGGTGGATCACTTGAGGTCAGGAGTTCCAGACTAGCCTGGCCAACATGGTGAAACCCTGTCTCTACTAAAAATACAAAAATTAGCTGGGTATGGCAGCGCACGCCTGTAATCCCAGCTACTTGGGAGGCTGAGGCAGGAGAATCGCTTGAACCCGGGAGGTGGAGGTTGCAGTGAGCCGAGATGGCGCCATTGCCCTCCAGCCTGGGCGACAAGAGCAAAACTCGGTCTCAAAAAAAAAAAAAAACAAGGGAAAAGAAAAGTTGCTTCCTGCCCTGGAAGTGCTTGCCATGAGCCACACCTGACACAATGGGAGGACCATCACCAGTCAAACATCCGTGTGTGTGATAGGAACTTGCCAGTCATGTCTCTCCATGTCCCCAGATGAAGCCACATGTGAAAATTTTATTTTAGAGCTAAGAGTTAGAAAAATAATTTGATTCCCCCAAGAAATAGGTATATTTTTTCTTCATGGACAGTGAGAATATAACTGATTGTGTTTCCCCTCTTTGCTTTGGCCAGCAGGAAACTCAAAGCCAAATTTGCTGCTGTAAAAGAGTAGTTGTGTAGGTTCTTGCTTATTTGTATTTTTATGTTTCCTATAGTATCATCCCTCTGGTAATTTATATTTGTCCTGATGGTTTTCAAATTTTGATTGAGATGTTGCTGTTTTATCAGGTATATTTCCTGATGGTCCCCTAAATCCTTTGTAAACGTGTCAAGTAGAAATATACTTTTTGCGAGAGCTATAAATTGCTTAGCATGTGCTTGGATGGATGATTAATCTCACCCAAAACACAAAGGTAGCAGCACTGGCATGGGTTATTCTGGGACTCACATCCAGACCTGGTAACCCCCAGCTGAGTCTGAAGACCTTTGTCTGAGCCCTGGACTCCATTTGGTTAGAGGAAGTGAGAAGGTGGGCTGGGGACCAGGCGTGGCCATTCCCACCATGCAGAACTGCTCACCCAAGCTTCATTTCTCCAGTGCACTTGCAGAGTCTGGCCAGAAGATCAGCCAAGGACCTGCAGGAAGATTCTATTCTGGTCAGAATTCTCCACCCACAGTTCCAGCCTTGGGCTCTGCATTGCCAAATAGGCAATCTTCAGAGCCAGCCGGGAGCCACACTGGGGAGACGCCTTTCAGACCCACCTTCCACCCTGCTTTCTGCCACTGTTCCTTTATAGAGCGCCCTCCATCTGCCGCGCAAGGTGTCTGTTGCTGTCAGGATGCTCTGAGATCTGTGAACATCTCCTTCAAAGGCAGTAGTGATGAGATGATACTTCCAGGGGTCTTTACATGTTAAAAGAAGGCCTTAGGAAAGGGCACTGTTTAACCCAAAAAAGGAAGAAGGCTGAATGGTGACATTTCAGGTCTCGTAGTGTCTGAGTGAGGAAGAGGTTTCTGTTTCGCAGGTGGGAGGGAGATGTATGATTAGTGGGGACAGGGAACCTTGCCAGGAGCCATAAATGCTTCTGGGTGGGTCTGCAAATAAATGTGATGTGAATTTGACTGTCAAGCAAGCGGCAAGGGGTGGTCATGGAGAGGGAGGACTAGGAAAGGGGAAGGGGTCAGGGTCTTGCTCCTCCCAGCCGAGGGCACTTTCTCAGTTCCTTCTTCCTAAACCTGGACTGTTTCTCAGGCCTCCCGAGGAGGCTGCTCCCTGGGTCCTCTCTGTCATGAAAGCAGGAGCATTCCTCTTCCAGGGATCGCCATCCACACTCAGCAAACCACTGTCCCCTACCCTGGGCAGAGAGCATCTCACAAGGAGAGCCTGGAACTCATCTCCCTCTGCCTCCTTCTTCTTCCCAGGGAAGCCCTATGGGGCGGATGACTTCCTGCCTGTGCTCATGTATGTGCTGGCCCGCAGCAACCTCACGGAGATGCTTCTCAATGTGGAGTACATGATGGAGCTCATGGACCCCGCCCTGCAGCTGGGGGAGGGTGAGTCACCACCCCCTGCCCATCAGGTGCATTGCACACCCCCAACTCAGCCATACCACGGGCACTCTAGTGGTCCAACAAGCACCTCCTGGATACCAGACTCCTGCTGAGCTCTGGACCCATGGATGCAAATGTGAATCCTACACAGGTCCTGTCCTGCGGGAGCTCACAGATTAGGGGGAGAGATGAGCCAGTGAAGAGACTGTGCCACCTCCACGTAACAAGTGCTGGAATAGTTGGAATCCCAGAAGTCATAGGAGCATGTTACCCAGACTGTGCAGTCAGGGGAGGCTTCCTGGAGGAGGTGACATCTGAGCTGAGCAATGAAAGAAAAATACAGGCAGCTGATTTAAAAAAGGGGGAAAGGCAGTCTTTGTAGCAGGAACAGCAGGAGATAGTAGTGTAAAAGAAGTGGCTGAAGTGGCAGGCAGTGCTCACAGTAAGAGTCTGAGAGACAGTGACAATCGGTTCTTAGACAGGGGTGACCCCCAGGGACTCTCGGCCCCTTGCTCATAAGCCCTGGGTCAGGACCTCCGTCAGCGGGAAGTTAATGATATGAGTAAGAAGCCCTGCACTCCCCAATAGGATGAAGGCAGAGATGTGGTTTGGTCCACCCTATGCTCAGTTTCCCTTCCCCTTTCCCCCTGCCCATCACATCCTTCCACCCACTTAGCCTCAGCCACCCATCCACCAAGAATTTCCTGAGGGGCAGCCAGTCCAGATATCAGCTCTGACGGAGCCCTGACTTCCCCTCTGAGACATCAGCCTCAAAGGAGGGAACCATCCTCCCAGGCCCTGAGGGTCCCCCTTGGGCTTTGTGGTTCTTGAGATGAGCAGACACTCTTTGCATCTGTTTGCATTTTTTTTTGCATGTTCCAGTCTCTGGGGTGATAGTTTGATGAGATAGTTCTGTGAGTTGTTGACAGCTCAGGGGAGCATGTTAAAGCCATGACGTTCACTGTCATATATAACTTTGGCTTGTGGCACTGGGACCTCTATATCTACTTTTTTTTTTCTCTGTGGTTAAAAATGTCCTGTAATGGGAACAAGTTATCTTCCAGGAGGTCCAGGAATTCAAGAGAAGCCAAGGTTTCTTCAGCAATGGTTATCTGCTGCCCAGTGTAGCCATCTATCCATCCATCCATTCATCTGTCCATCCATATGGTCATCCATCCACCCATTCACCTACCCATCCATCCATGCATCCACTCATCCACCCAACCACCCACCCATCTACTGACTCACCCACCTCTCCATCTATCCATCTATCCATCCATCCACCCATCCATCATCCCATCATCTATCCATGCATCCATCTACTCATCGAACCACCTACCCATCCACATATTCACCCACCCACCCATCCACATATTCACTCACCCATCCACATATTCATCCACCCATCCACATACCATCTACCCATCCACCCATCCATCCATCCACCCACCCATCCGTCATCCATCCATCCATTAACCTATCCATCCATCTATCCATCCATCCATCCATCTGTGCACTCATCCACATATTCACCCAGCCATCTACATATCCATCTGCCCATCCACCCATCCATCCATCCACCCACCCATCCATCATCCATCCATCCATTCACCCGTCCACCTACCCACCTATCCAACCATCCATCCATCTATACACTCATCTACCCATCCATGTATTCACCCAGTCATCCACATAACCGTCTACCCATCCATCCATCCATCCATCCATCCACCCACCCATTCATGCACCCATCCATCCATGCATCCACTCACCTACCTAACCACCCACCCATCCACCCATCCATCCATCCATCCA